TAGGGACTTTAACTATTGCCCATATCATGTTGGGGTTCATGATTATAAAACTATAGCACAATATACCCCCCTATTCTAATCATAAGGCTGTGCTCTGTGCGCAAGAGAGGCTTTGAAATGGTCGGACCTTCCGAGCTGATAGTCTGACCTCACCTGAATACTGAGAAACCTCCCTTTTCGGGGATCCTTATACCAAGGTTTCCTTACATAGGTAGGATTTTTGGGGATCCTGACTATGATTTCCCGTCCGGAAAAGGTAGGTTATTTGGGGATAAGGTATAGCTTCAATCTTACGATCTTACGATGCTCTTACGAAGACGCACTGGTTCATCGACGCTATATAGCCGCTATATACTCGAGCCAGGGCAGAGCAAAGGCCCTGTGAGCTTTCCAAGAATCCGTTGCAAGAAATAGTGCCAAACATAGGGGTGTTACCGAATAATTGGAACAGGGTTTTAGCGTTGGGGTACATTGGAACACTGTACTACAGTTTTGTAGGGACCATAATTGCATAGTATTTCTCCTACTTCCGACCCCTACAGCAGAGCCTGCTGCGTGAGATCGACGAATCTGCGCAGCTCTGGTGGTTCTATCTCCTGCTCTAGTATAGACATCACCAGAGATTCGATATGCAACAGTGTGGCCATCACGACACCGCGGCAACTGCAAAGTGCACGATCAGGATGTGCACAGACCACCAAAAACTGCGGGACATCTTCTGCTGCAGAGGTACAGTCAGAGTATCTGATGGAGCTTTTCGAAATGCGAGAAGCGAACCCTTGTTGTCCAAAGCGAGTTCATCATCGCGTCTTCTACTGGGCGCCTGCTCCCTGCTTCGACGAAAGCGCACGGCCCGCCACGCCCCGACTCAACCAAGAATCGATCAAGGCTGAACAATGAATCCTATCTAAGGCCAAGTAAAGCGAATGTAGTCTATAGATCTCTCGTAAACCCTCTTTAATTTATGCAAGGAATCGCAAGACCAGCACATCACTCCTCGAACTTTGCAGCCGCAAAAAGTGCGGCTACCACGAGAAGCTGAAGTGAGTCACGCTTGACCTGGAGATTGGATTACAATTAACCAGCTGCCATGGCTTTCACAGTAGCACAGACACTCGCCGGTGCAGATAATGCACCCGGTAAGTTGACAAGACGTAGTCCTAATATGAACGGTCTAGGGTTTAGGGTCTCGGCCTAAAGACATGTGCACATGTCCATATCGGAGACCAGTTCTCCATGCCAGCCTCCTACCCTGGATGCCGGGCGGCATGTTCGTGCACATGTCAGCTACTAGATATCGCATCTTCAACAGGTACCTATAGTATCCATTGCAGTTTCGTTTTTGGGTCACCGTTTCCGATTCGAAATACGACCTTTGCTGAAAACCAACCAAGGCACTACCCTGGAGACTGTGGGTACTTTTGTCACGTGCCCAAGCCAGGTCCGACGGCTCAAACAGCGTTTTGAAAGTATGCTTTGAAGGCAAAGGACCTTTGGGTTTAGGGTTTAGGGGATATGATAACCATGCTGTCAATCCGAAGGACCTCCTACAAGACATCTCCTGGGCCCAGAGGGTATGTGCTTAGTATCTGGGTGCTTGGTTTTTGGGGCAATATTCCCACGGTTGCGGGGTGCTGCTGAGTTGTGAGAAAAAATTAAAGGTTGTCTTGCAGAGTAGCGCAGAACCTCCTTCGTTTACAGCCAATCACCAAGAGCCAAGCAAACAATGGCCTGGTGATTAAATAATGCTTATTGCTAAGAAATTGATCTTTATGCAGGAAGTGCCGTCTGCATACTGACAAGTCAGATCATGTCACATCCGATATCAATCACAATAAACAATCGTGGTACACGAATCTGTCAAGACCCGAAGTGGAAAAGACTCGCTGCTACGGGTTAGGAGGGCAGTGCAGTGTACAGTGGCAGTGTTGAAACTTCCTTGGGGACCAAATGACCCTTATAAGTAGGGGCCCTATTCCCTTACACTATGAATCCGTGTATTATGAACCTTACAAACCGCTGAGGGTTCATTTAGTCCTTCAGGTCCGTGCCTCCTTCAGCGCCAAGTAGCCGTCGACGAGGCTGACGGAAAGGAAAAGTGTCGCGGTACTGCGGCGGGGCGCAGTAGGGTTTGTCTTTTGAAAGCAGTCCAAGCTTCCTTAAACCCCAAATCCTAACCCCAAGCCCTTACTCCAAGTAACCTCTCCACCTCAAATTTTGCTGGAACTGCATGGTGCTGCGGAGAACGCTGTAAACTTAAAGGGCAAATCCAACCCCGGCATTGGTCCTCAGCCGCCACCTTGTCTGCACCTGGTCGACTAGTTAGGGTCCGGCTTTTCTCCATCAGATCTTGAAGAGGAAATGGGCCTTGCCTGCACCAACCCAGAGCCCTGCAACGATACACCGGGCCCAGGTCTCCGGAACGTCCAACCAGACTCGTCTAAATCCTGCCCACACTTTCAAATACCTCTGACCTTTCGCCACTGGCTTGAAAAGGGCAATCGGAGACTCTCCCGAACCTATAGCCTCGCTGAAGCCCTGTGCAACGCAGCTTAGACCGCACTCGAAGCAGCCTGACCTCGACCAGCCAGTCGACAGCAATTCCACGCTCCTCTCGCACGGAGCACGCTTCGACCCTAAGCCCTCGGCCCCCGAAGTTGAGAGTGGTTCAAGTAGCTGAGGCCTTCAAGGCACTGGGATCTCTCCTGGATCGGGTAGAAACCTTCTTTTCTGGTCAACTCACACCATTTATAGCTCCGCGTTCGACTAAACCAAACGCCCGCAAGGAAAGCTCTCGCCCCAGTCTCCTCGGGAGTCAACTCGGGTTGATCCTGGCGGAAGACAGTGGCAGCTTTGCAGTCCACCAACGACTCGAGGCTGCATCTGCATGCTTCCGGAGCAGAGTCATATGATGACGCCGGAGCTTTGGGTATGTATCTATATGCAACCGTACGACCACGGTATGAAGAACTGTGTTTATGCATGAAGGTAGCTGTATATATGCAAGCATAGATGTATAAGCATTGACTGGCACTTATATTCGCGAACGCATCAACTGCAGATATCGGGCACCCTGGGACCCTTTGTAGTCTCCTCATTTAGAGTAACATACGGGCCTTAATAATTAGAATAGGGTTTTGTGGCCCATTATACTATGATTATAATAACGACCCCCCCCCCAAAAAAAATAGTATTGGTAATTATCTCGGTGGGCCCCTGCATGAACCCCAAAACCCCAGGAACTTTTTCCAGTGGCAGCTAAGTTCTGACTCGGCCGGGCTCGGCATCTGGCGCCCCCTCAGGCGCGCTTCGCGCGGTTGAGGGCGGCAGAGATTCCCGATTCCAGGGATTCTGAGGGTATGATACCCTAAAACCCTAAACCCTTCTAGGGTTTGTAGGTTTGGGGGGTTTCGAGTCTAGGGTTGACGGTTGAAGGCTTCGCATGTTTGGGGCTTAGGGTGCATTAGCAGCTTTCGTGGCTATGAGGGCGGCTTAGAGCAGAGAGAGGCTGGGAGAAATGAGGCTTTTGATTGGATAGTGTCTATATCTCCCAATCTAAACATGTGCTTCAGCATCAACACCGGAGCATTCCTCACAACTCTATCACGGTGTCTTGCATAAGCATTGAAGTCTCAGAATATCAAGAACACGGATGTAAACCCTAGACAGTGGGGCGAGCCCTTTAAACACGGATCCCAGCCTTCTGAAACCCAATGAAGACATATGAGATCCTGGTAACACCCACGAAAACCCTGTTAGTGCCCCGCAGCACCCTGCATAGCGTGATGCAGAGACCGTGGTAATCTTTCCTATGAGGCGTGAGGTGGCAGAATGCCAGCCTGGAATCGCTTAGACCGCTAAGCCGCACAGGAAATCATCTTGCTCCGGCTAGAGAGGTTCAAGGGCTTCAGGGTTTCGGTGAGGCTTTCGGGTAATCTGAATATGGGTAGTATATGTTTGCATTCATGCATGTATGTATATGCACGTATAATTATACGCAGTAAAGGTATTATGCATATCTATACCTGTATCCATATATATATATACATATAGATCTAGAGTTCTTTGTTCGTTTGTGGTCGTGGGGCCCAGCCCACTCATATGAGCTGCTTACCAGCCGCCTCTGGGCTCGGGGCGTTTAAGGTCCAGGGGTTCCTGCAGGGTTCCAGGGTTTAGGGCTTAGTGTTCGCTTTTCGGGTTTAGGGGCGTAGTGTTGGCGGTTAAGGGCTTAATGTTAGTTTTTGGGGCTTATGGCTGAAAGGGTTTAGGGTTAGGTCTTAGGGTTTAGGGGCGGTAATTCGAGGAAGACTATAAGGGTTCCGAGAAGGGCCACGGACCATCCGGGGTTCCTACAAGGAATAAACCCTAAACCTCTAAACCCTAAACCAATACTCTAAGGGTTTCGGGCTTCGGGGGTTGGCTTCGTGAAAGTGGTAGCATTCCGGATGCGGCGGCAGGGCGCAGGCTTGTGGCATTCGCGAACTCTTTGGTTCACGGGTGCTGGCACAGTGAGAACCCTGAGATTATCGAGCAACTTCCGAAGACTGCAATGAACTTTAAACAGCTCTGATCATCTGACGTTCTCGAAGCAAGATACCGATTCGGGAGTTTCCGAAAACACGGGGTACCTTATTTGGGGGTCCTTATAATAGGGATCCTACTATTTAGGGTACTATATTAGGGTCCCCTATTTTCGGAACCCCCCATTCTTCGAAAGCTGAATCAACATGCCGAAATTCGGTGAGCCTTTCTAAAGCAACTTTGAGTCCCAGCCTCTCGTGCCTAAGCGTTCGAGTACATTTCTATCCAGCTCAGGTCTCCTTGTCTGCAGAACCCCAAACCCTAAACCTAGGAAACACATGGACCCTGGCAGCAATTGCCGAACTGTCCTTTCTTGGAGAATACGTTTTCCGACAGGACAGCAAGAGGGTGGGATCATTCCTTTATAGGCCCCAGCTTTTGATGGATCGGAGCCATTCTTATCGCCTTTCAAGGGCTTTCTACAGCGGCTCATCGGATGGCGCTGGCTCGTAGCGATGGTTGTTGGGAGCGTAGAGGCTAAGTGGCCTCGCCAGGAACGGAGAAACAGACATCAAGATCCATGATATTCTGGGAGTGTCGGAACGGTCAGGTGGATGCCCAAGGGCACTTTGAATTGGCCTAAACTGAAGTCCTTGCCAACACGAACTCCTCCCTAGGAATGAGAGCCTGATGTACGAGCGCAGAGAGAAAGAGCCCCTCCCCGCCCCAGCAATGTTTGGGGTTTAGGGCATACCCATAGGCTCCATTGTACTTCCTTTTGGGGATTACCTTCTAGGCTCCGAGATACAAACCACAAAAGGGAACCACACTGGAGCCTACGGGTAGGGTTTCAGGGTTTAGGGTGATGTACGAGCGCCCCCAAACCCTAAACCCTAAACCCTGAACCCTAAACAGCCCCCCCACCCAAGCAATGGCCTCTCGTCTTCCTGTCCTCTCGAAAGTCGCTGACCCATGGCCATCACGGCCATGAAGCCTGATGGGAGGACTCGGGGAGTATGGATTTTTGGTATTTTTGGGGTTTAATATAGTGGTCTTCTGGAAACGAGTTTAAAAAGCTCGGACATCGGCCCTCCACATATCAACCATGAAAACCTTAAAACCCGCGCAACCCTTGAGTCCTGAAGCCCCCACCCACGCAGAATAAACCCTTTCATGAACTCCAAACACCCTAAATACAAAAAAAAATCCAAGAGCCGCCTTAAAGAACACACCAAAAGCGGTATTGTAACTTCGTCCCCAGGGGCTTAGCGACCCGAGCCCAAAGGCGGCACCCAGTTCGGCCAAGCGATGCTGCTCCACCTGAGATCTAACGATGAGGGCTCCTTCAAGGGCTTCTATGTGGGTAGCTCTCTGAATTCTGAATTGGGGTCCCGTTTAGGGTCCTTTTTAGAAGTGTGCCGTAGTATTTTGGGGACCCTAATCTAGAGAACTATCCATATGGATACATACTATAAGGCTACCAGTCTTGTAAGGCTCTGTTTGAGTAACGTGAGATTTAACTTGACTTAACTAAGGGCTTAGGGTCTAGCGTGCAGGGTGTATAGATTTAATTCAGGGCTGCTTTGAAGGAGCCCTTACTGCAAGCGACTCTTCAAGAAACCGTAAACGCCAAACGGCCCTCCACCCTTATAATTATAGCACCCTTAAAAGACCCATATAGAACCCTTAAAGGAACAATTCATAAGGTACCTTCCTTAAGATTTCTGAGGCTTCTTATCAGGGATACTATAGGTATGTTTGGGAGCTTGTACAGGTCCGTATATGGTTGCAAAGAAAGCTTCGGGGCTTTAGGGTCTAGGTTGCTGTAAGGGTTCTTGAAGGTTCTCGTTACGTTCGTACCCGGTTCTGTAGGCTGCTTAGCGTTCTTATACTACCTATAACACACCACTGAGAATGGGGTTTATGGGGCCGGCGAAGGGTTTGAGATTATGGTTGTGGAGCTTAACCCCGTCAAGGATACCTGAGGATCCCGAACCTTTTTCTTAACTTCCCTCTGAATAAGCGGCTATAACCTCCATTCCGTAGGGTTTGGGACTACAGGTGGCTGCGGCTAAACCCTAAATCCCTAAACCCTAAACCCCTAAACCCTCAACCCTAAACCCCAAAACCCCTAAAGCCAAACCCCTGAACCCAAAACCCCTATACCCTAAACCCCGAAACCCTCAAGCCTAAACGGGTTTGGAAAAGCTCGGAGTTGGGGGGCTTTCGGGGGCTTCGGATTTAGGGGTGACACTCAGAAAGGCGAAGCCATCAAACCTGTCAGGGTCGGAGCTATGATGAAGTTCAGGGGTTTAGGGTTCAGGGGTTTAGGTTACAGGGGTTTATGTTACAGGGGTTTAGGGTAGAGGGGTTCAGGGTTCAGGGGTTTTAGGGTAGAGGGGTTTGGGGTTCAGGGATCTAGGGTTTGGATGGGTCGGAAAGGCCGCGAAGCCTGTAGTGCAACATGTAGACCGATCGATGAACAAAGTGGACGGCGGGTCATAAGTGGAAACGAGAAGGGGTCATTTAAGGGTTCCGATAACGGGACTTTCGGGGTTACTAGAAAGAGTGCTTGAACGGATTCCTACAGCGTGCTATCGTGCGGCCTTAGGCCTAGCTGCAACGATTCGAGCACGCAGAGTGCTAGAGGTGCAGTCTGTGTGCTCAGCAGGTGCAAGTACTTTCTTCCATATCAACTTCAACCCCAAATAGGAACCCCGACCCTGAAAGGAACCACCCTGAGCTGAACCCTGATAGGAACCCTTACTTCTATTCTACCCTTGCGGCCGAGAGGCGTTCTTGGCTCGGTGCTTCAGCTCGTGGAACTTCTGCTCCAGGGCATCTAGGCCTGCCGAGAATAAATAAGTACAGGAATCATGCGAGGAAGAAGAAGAACCGTACAAAAAATTAAGTAATACCAATACACAGGAAACCATGAAATGAAGAAATATCAAGAAATGAGTACGTCGTGGAACCCGAAGTTGAGAGAGCTTCTCTGTCCACAGTCTCTATCGGATTTGGCGAATCCTTCTCGAAGAGCTCAGTAAGCAGCTTCATCTTCAGAGTTCCCTGCCCTCTCAAGCTGCTTCTGGTCACCAAGAGCACTAAAACGTTTCGGAGAGAACCCTAAACCCTAAAGAGCCCCGGCCTTGCATGGAATTCAGATCCACCTGGTTGACTTGGTAGCCATCGGTCGGATGCGAATGAGACTGGCGCAGCAAGAGCGGTTTAGGGTTAAGGGCTTCTTTCCTCCCTTACCAGAGGGGCCCTTAAGGGGGTGGGTGGGAGGGGGGTAGGGGGCCTTAATTCCAGTAGTAAGGACCTAATAAGGTCGATTAAAGGAAGTGTAGTCCCCTAACCCCCTACGGGTCCCTATGATCTTGCCCTCCCATGACATGCAAGATGCTTCGCCGGGGGGGGAGAGGTTGGGTGAGCTGGCGGATTTCTGGGTTGACTGGAGATCTGGCATCTAGGCAGAGATTCACCCCCATCATCGCTAGCAGAAGCAGGCGAAAGAAGCATTTTAAATTTCAGGCGCCTGACCCCTGTAAGAATTGCCCTGAAGCTCCGAACTGGCCTTCAGGTAGCGCACGCGCGTGCGCACTCCGTGGTCCCCGCAGCTTGTGCTGCATTCGCCCCAGCTCTGCCAATCCTCCCAGGAACCTGTAGGGAGGGGAAGTTTCCATCTCAGCTGTCCGATCAAACCGGGATCATCGGCTTGGAACTTCTCCGATTATCCTAGCTTGGCCCTTTCAAGCGGTGGACAAATATACATAAATAAGATCCTCTTAGGCCCACTCAGGGAACAAATTAAAGCATACCGAAGGCCTCTCTAAACCATAAACCTTCATGATAAGAAGGGCTAAACCCTAAACCCCACACCTAAACCCTAAGAAAGGCTTCAAAGAGGTTATCGCAGAAGAAGCAACCGTTCCACTTCCGTTAGGATCGGCTCTAGGCATACAGAGAGTTGCTCGTTCAATTCCCACAGGGTCCTAAGATGTCCAAAGTACCTATCTCTCTCTCTCTCTTTCTGGTACTGGGTTTGGGGTTTGTGGTTTAGGGTATATGTATGTGTATATATATATACATATATATATATATATATGTGGTACTGGGTTTAATCACCCCCAACCAAAAGTGGCGGCCTGAACAATATGCTACCCGTGACCCCCTTGACCTTGCTTGGCTAGATTTGGGCTTGGGTTGGCTTGAACAACTTTGAAGGGTTCTTTTTGGCGGGGTCCGAGGGATTTGGGGCTGGGTGGGCTGGACTAACTTAGAAGGGCTTTGGGGGATCGTCTGCGATGCTCCGCGGATGCCCGGGTTGCGGGTGGGGCCTGAATACGCACAACAAAAACGCGTTAAAGAGACCCACTTAGCAAAACCCAGTGCCACAGATGTCCAAAGTAGCGTTCCTACGGCAGGAAGTACTTCTATGGTTTGGGTAAATATCCCTGGCTCCAAGTATACAATGGAGTCTAAGGTCTCCACAAAGGTGTCTTTTGGGCTGCCAAAGGAGCGGGTGCCGTTTTTAAGAATTATATAGAACTCCCCAAAATAGACCATGAGTCTTGATTTTGACATGGTACCTACTTTGAGACTTTGGGCTATCTGGAGGGTGTTGGCATGCGGCCCCATGGAAAGCATTTGAAAGCCCAGCAAAAACCAAAAAAAAACAGTCGGGCGGCAAAAGGAAGGCGTGTGGCATGCGCGAGGGCAGGCCGCAATCTCCTTGCAGTCTGTAATCTGATGCGAGCGGTCTAGGGTGCTACGGTGTCAGGTGTTACCTGAACCCTGTAAAGCTTACCTTTAGGTTTAGGGTTCCCTATTGTGATTTCCTTATATTTGAGCCGCAAAAAGTAGGATATTTGGGGTCCAGATCAGGGTTTAAGGGTTCAGGATTCGGCTTTAGGGGGTCGGATGGGGCTGCGGCCTTGTGGAACAGTCTGCTGTTAGCTTCATGAGTTCATTAGTAAATAAGGAGACAATCCAGGCTCCTCAAAACCAGACGTGTTGAAGAAAGGGGCCTGAACAGTTACCAAGAGTATTCCTTAGTGTTCCTTCAACAACTATTCTACTTTATACTACACTAACCCTCCAAAACCCTGAGCCGATTATTACAGCCTATACTACTGTCATGTGGACTGCTAGCTGAAGCACCTCGGCGAACTTCTGCTCGCAAACCATCCCGCCGCAATCGGCATGCACCTTGACCTTCGCTTCGGAGACTTGGTTTCCGGGATTACCTATTCTCCGTTGTAGTTCCTCTTTGGGTTTACCTTATAGGGTCCTATAAAGCCGGCTCAGCCGAAAAAAGAGCTACACTGGAGGCTGATGGTGTCTTGTGAGAGTGTAGCATGTACCGGGGAGCTTCTTACATCCGGAAACAGGGACAGGGACGCCAAGTTCGAAAAGCCCACGGCTTAGGGTTTAGGGTTTCAAGACCGGGGCCCAAAAGAACTATCCTGAGCCCTAAACCGTCGAAAACCAAATCTGCTGATGCCGGCTCCATGCAGCCCTGGGACATGGCGGTAGCGTTTTCGCTGGCCGCCGCATTTATCACAGGCGCCCCACATTTCCTGGGCTGGTTTAAGGCGGAGATGTGGGACTGAACACGTCGTCGAGGCGGAGGTTTGCCTATGGTCTCCATTGTAGCTCCTTTCCTAGTTTAACCAAGTTCATATTGGAACCTTATAAGGAAACCCAAAAAAGGAACTGCAGTGGAGACTATAGGTAGAGGTGGGACTGAACCGTTGTCATCGAGGCAGACAAAGATTGCCAACACTGCTAGGCCTACAGTAGATACTTCACTATGGTGATGCGTGGTAGATGGTGCTATGCATAGGGTGAAGAAGCAGGGCGAAACCTCCAGAGCTACTGGCTACAGCTCTGTCTGTGTCAACATCGGGAAAATTAAATGGACACAGCTGGATGCCAACCTTCAACGCAGTAGCCTAGCAAGGCCAACTGTACATGAATACATGCCGGCCGAAGACGTGCCCCTTAAATACCCACACAAGTATGTCGTACTATTTGGTACATGGACCCAGCCCTTCTGGTGCCCTTTTCGAACCCTTCTAGAGCCCCTGTGGTGCCCGTATTATGGAAGCCTTATGGTGCCTTGATCGAACCCTCATAGGAACAATGCCCAGGCGCCCACTCACTCCACAGGCAATCCACGCGATTGCAGGTGGGACATGGCTGGAGCGAACATGCCTGGAACAGACGGTTTAGGGTTCCGGCTCCGGGTTTAGGGCAATCCGCGGCACCTCTTTCGGTTTCGCGGCCGCGGTTTGGTGTCTAGGATACAGTGGCATGCCGTCGATGAACCCCATTTGGGATACCAGCGCCCTACACATTCGAGGCCGCATCTGCATGTTCGAAATCGATGCTGCACGCGATACGGATCCAAATGCATGCTTCTTGACTTACCACTCGGACATGAATGCAAACGAATCATGATCTTTATCAGAACGAGGCATGTGCACCGAAACCGCGAATGCTCGAGCACTCTCCACTGCGACTGCGACCCGTGCCGCATAATCAAAGATGCTGTATCATGTTCGAAATCTCATATTTTCGTCTGTGGTTCACTTCTCTCCTTCGCGCAGATGCAGCATCCTTAATCTGGGCCGCCACACCACGGCTACTATATAGTTGCGGTCATCTATGTTTCTATTTGGTGTGCTAATGGCTGACGGCTTCAGAGAATGAGTTCTTCACAGGAAGCTGGCAACTGCCCTGGCGCCTTCGTCACCACCAACGATCTATCGCAGTGCTTGCCGGCATTGTGCGGGTTGTTCTGAAGATTCCTTCCCAGACTTGTTGACTGTCAGGCTTCCTCTATGGGTACCAAAAGGGTCCTATAGAAGTACGGTGAAGCTATAGTAAATAGGTTCGTGGGGTGTGGCGTTTAGGGCCTAGTGCTTGTATCATCCTTGCCTCTGGCGGATCCTTTGTCCGATGCCGCAGGTAACGGAACAGACGCCCCACTGCTGCCACATGCTGACCTCCGCTGCTGGGCTTCAACAGGGTTTGGGGTCCAGCCTGGGGCTTTTGATCCGCAGTTTTAAGTTTTAAGGGTACACAACTTGTCGGCCAGACACTTGCTTCTCGGCTACTGGTGGAAGAGTATGCCGGCACTTCACATAATGTGTTCGCAGATTACCGTGCAGCATACTTATGTATACCAGAACCCCAGCCTTAAAACATGCAAACAGAACCGGGCAGATCTGCGAAACATCGGCAGAATGTTCGGGCTCACTGTCGTGAGACCGCCGAGCCCAAACAGACACCCAAAGCAAGGGATACAAACTTAACCTGATGGCGCATTATTCATCTGTCTATCTATCTATCCATCAATCCATCCATCTATCTACCTACCTATCTATCTATCTGTCTATCTATCTATCTGTCTATCTATCTATCTGTCCATCTACGGATTTATCATTACAGATATCAGCCTCTGCATTGTACTCTACATGTATATATATATATACATATTTATGTATGTATGTGTGTATGTATGTATGTATGTATGCATGACATACATCTTAACCTTTGCAGGGATGACCTGGCAGTCCACCGGGACGCCACCGCCGCAACTCGGGTCATCGTTGCCTTGGTCAAGCGCCATCGATGTAAGGGCCGTACTTGGAGGATCATGAGACTTAGTAAATACAGTTATAAGCACCCTAACTGGAGTTATAATTAACTGTAAGTATGGTTACCTTGTTGATAACAGTCGCTCCTGAGTCCCATGATCCTCCGAACCTTAAACCCTTTTAGGGTTCTTGTTGTGCTTGAACCCCACACCCGGAACCCTATAGAATCCATATAGCCCGTCCAGGAACCCTTAAAGGAAACCCAAAACAGTTTTGGTAGTCATTTAAGCCCCTCTGTGACAAGCTGATGCTTCGTCTCGTGATTGCTCATTGAAAGCTTGGTTTCAATCCTATGCACCTCAAGGAAACCCAGGTCGAAACTTAAGAAGCCCGGAAACATGAGAACTTGCACGCGTCATGTTGGACCACCCCTTGCCTGAATCTGAAAAACCCCAAACCCTAAACCGCCTAAACCCTATGCACCCCAAACCCTACACCCTAGCCTTAACCCTAAACCCTAACCCTAAACTGTGGGCCCAAGACTAACAAACGTCGCCTACTTTTGTCTCCCAATCTCCAGATCTTCAACCCCCTGAAAGTCCCCGTAAACCCTAAACCCTAAACGCTAAGCCCTAAACCCTAAGCCGTAAGCCCTGAACCCTGAAATTCTCAGAGCCAAGGGGCACGGGGAGGTTTGCTTCAGTGCACCCTCGCACCAGCGACCGTTCTCCTGTGCTGGGATCCAGGTACTCGGTGGCAGAATGTCACTTGGTGCAGGGTAGAATGCCACCTCTTTACCTGCTTGTCCAGTATCCTAAGGGAAATTAAAAGTGAACCTTTCGTATTCCTCAAAGCTGCCACTGCAGTGCCACGAAGATCTCGCTTCCACAATCCTAAAAAGGCAAAATCCCAGACTCTGAAACCTCAATAAGCCACCTTAAACCTCCAACTTCTATACCCTAAACCCTAATCCCTTGCAACCCGGCCTTGCCATGCACGGCGATGACCCGCGCACGCCTTGCGACCAGGAGAGCTGAGGGCTTGCTGTAAGGAGTAGGTACAAGGGCGAGATTCGAGGAAATAAAGCTGTAATAATTAGAATAGGGTTTTGGGGTATATGAAACTATAACTTCAATAAGGAACCCCACAAATAGTGTTGGTAACTATGAAAGCCCCTATAGTATACTATGGAGCCTGGAGTCTTACTTTAGAACAGGGTCTGGGGTATCTTGCACTACAGGCACAAAGGGGTACCGCTGCTATGATTTGACTATAGGCTTCCATTGTAGTTCGTTTTTGTCGCTTGTTATAGGTAAACGCCATATCCTATACGCGCTAAACTTCACCGTGCTTGGATGTACTTGGATGGTCCTGGCAGTCTGGCCGCGTAATGGTGCCAACCCTTGAACAGGTTCAGGAAGGATGGCTGCCGCCCTAGACCCAAAACCTGAAAGCCCACACATCTAGGGTTTAGGGTTTAGGCAAACACAAAATTCTATCTTTTTAAACTTTAAGACTCTGAAGCCTAAAAGCTCTAAACCCTGAGAAGCCCTAAGCCCAAAACTATTCTTTCGACACCTCTTGATGCCAGCGCCTATAGATCCCGGTCCCATAATAGAAGCCCTGAAGAACCCTTACAGGATCCCGTAAAGGAACTCCATTCATGGCGCGCGAAAAGGATCCCTTAAAGGAGCTCTTGCAAAGGAGCCCGAAAGCCACCTCTTGATCCCAGCAGAAGGACCATGGCTATAGATCTCATATATAGTTAGTACCGGGGCGATTCGAGGTAATATATGGAGCCTGAATAATTGAATAATACCTTAGCCCCCGGGTAACCTCTTCATGCTAGCACAAGCAGCCCTAAACCCTAAAACCCTAAGCCCTGAAACTCGAAACCCTGCTCTTGGTGACCTCTTTGATGCCAGCACAAGGAGCCCTACACCCGAACTAAAACCAAAGCCCGAAACCCTAAAACCTCAAATCCCCAAACTCTTCTCTTGGTGATGCCAGCACAAGGAGCCCTAAACCCTGCACGGCCCTAAACCCAAAGCCCGAAATCCCCGAAACCCCTCTCTTGGCAACTTGGTGACCTCTTGATGCCAGCACAAGGAGCCCTAAACCCTAAACGGCTCTAAACCCAAAGCCCGAAATCCCCGAAACCCCTCTCTTGGTGACCTCTTGATGCCAGCACATGGGGTGGTGCAGCCGCTCCAGGGCTGCCACTGGCCGAAGACCTCGCAGTCGTTGGATCTAATCTCGGGGGACTTTAAGGACTAGGAGAGGGGTTTCTTTGTGGGGGGTCTTTTAAAGAGTTTAGGTGCTTAGGATTTAGCGTTTACATAGGTGTTTAGGGGCTTTTTGGGATTTTGGGGTTTGGGGGTTTGAGGGGGAAAGCTCGGATGCAAGAACACATGATCTTCCAAACAGGCAAATACCGCTTCGATCCCCGAAGAGGGCTGACATCACTCAAGCCAGGCCAGCAACCTAAACTCAAAACCCTATACTATGCCCCGGGGGCCTGAAACTAGGGGAAGCGACTGACACACGGGCTCTCAGGGAGAACCCGCGTGTGGGAAGACAAAGCCCAAGCCTCGGAAAATGAACCCATCTCCTGCCGGGCCTATCGAGCGTTCACGGACGCAAAACAAGAAGACCAGAAAGAAACCAGAAGAAGGCCCCCAATGCACTGCACTTTTTCCGACGTCAAGACTAACACGGAGCCTAGAATTCCTAAACCCTAAACCTAAACCGCCAGGCAAGGCACGCAATCGACGTTGGGCCCACAAGAGACATGGGCATTGCAGGAAGCATGCTCCATAGACATGCCTGGGTTGTTCTGATCTTGTTACTTAACTCCGAACCAAGACTATACTACTCTGCAATTCAATAATTTCGCTCCTTCGTAGGAATCTACTAGACAGAAATTAAGCATTTTGCTCAAGAGCGAGGCCAAGGTACCAATTGGTGGCTTGCCGCACTCATTAGCCTGCGCTGCATGCTTAGAACACGCCGTGCGCGTGATTTCAGCCAGGAGATCATTGCGGATGAGGATGTAATGCTTTGACTTGGAAACCGTCGGAGGAGAATGGTTATTGCACATTATTTAACAATGTCAGGACAAGAACCAAAACCCTCAGCTCAATCTCTCTATCTGATGGAACGCGGCCCTCCATGCTCTAAACCCTAAACCCTCTCATCGCGCGACTACGGGTGCCTGGCGGCGGAGCTTTCGTGAGCGCCACGTAATGCCGCCGTCGCAGCTCTTGGTGCAGGCCTAAGGCGGGCAGTGCAAGCCGAGTGTTCGGCTGTCAACCTCCGTGAGCTCTCAAGGATGTTTGGATCCAAATCGAATCATTGCAGGATGAACTCTTGCTGTGCCGCCCGACATCTGTCATCGCGCAGCATTAAAACTGAATTCGACGCATGCTGCCCTAAGCCCTACAAGCCGAAACCTACCAGACCTCAAGGCCGAATTCACCAAAGACACGTACCCTGGCACCATCCCATCCCTGAGTACCCGGATTAGACCAAGAAAGGTTGCTGGGTTTGTGGTTTAGGTGGGGCTTATGGGGGCTAGGATGGGAGGGAAAACGATTACTGTAAGGGCCTGAATAATTAGAGCAGGGTTTCGGGGTCCTGTATAGTATGCCTATAATGAGGAACCGCACAAGAATATAGGTAATTATTGAGGCCCGTACATTACTTAGGCAGCTCCCCCATTAAAGGAGTCCTGCATTACCTTAAGGACCCTAAACTTTGGGAACTATGGGATCTTCCGCATATTATGGGTAATGCAGGATTTGTATCATCAACTGTACCTATACTATTTTGAGGGCTCCTTATTATAATTTTATTATAATCTACCCCAAAACCCTATTCTTTTATCAAGGCCCCTATATTATCTTTACCTTCTTGGCGCCTCCCAGGAAGTCCACTCGCTCCACAATGCATCGATGCAGTCGCCTGTGCTGCCGTGCCGGTCATGCACAGTGCTGCTGCTTAGGGTTTAGGGCCCCTCCGCTCCTACTTTGAGATGTCTGCTCATAAGATCCGAGAAGAAGACGAAGAAAAAAGGTCGGAGATTTGCATGGCTGGATGTGCCAGCAACATGACCCATCGAGATGAGATGCCGGTGGCGCAAGGCTGCGTGTTGCAGGGCTCGATCTCCTGTAGCAGGGCCGGGGGAGCCATGTCGACTGCCCAACTCCCCAAGATCGAAGCTCAAACCCCTAGGGCACCGACCTACAAGAGCTACGTGAGATCTGCCGCGGCTGGAAGAAAGACCTAAGGCGACTGAAGAAAACAATTCATTTTCATACCCCGGACTGCAAACTCCGAATCTCGAAGGTGGGCGGGGCTCCTCCTTGTCCATGGCTTTGCATGCCGTGCCTTGCACATGGGCATGGTGTTGGCGCTCGGTAGGGCTGCTTGCTGAACGTGCTGCAGGCACATGGGGCACGTCCTCTCCCTCCAAACGGAACCGTGCCCCATGCCCAATGTCGCTGCCTGATGTGGTGAAGCTACGGGTCGTCGGGGGTCTTGACCATGCTCAATCAACAATGCGATGCCTCCTGGCGAAGGCATCACAGCGATCGTCCTGTCGCGGGTGCGCTGCCCGCCATCGCACTCGCAGGTGCAGCCGCTCCTGTTCCAGGGGCCTTTCTGTGTCACTCCCTGCTCCACTGCTGCAACAGTTGTGCCCCAGGTTCGCCCAATTCCAACTAGCCTTGTGTGATAAATTGACTAGAAGCCTTTCGCCGGACTTGCAGCATGAGTTGACAATTAAATATTCAGTCCACGAACAACACAGAGTACTCCTTCCCAAGTGCCTGAAGTTGCCCTTGCAAACACAAAGGGGCTACCATCTCACTAAACCAAAGAGGAATCGCCACTAAACCCTAAACTCTAAAACCCTAAAGCCCTAAACCCTGAACTCTAAACCCTAAAGCCCTAAACTCTGAACCCTGAAACTTCGAACCCTGAAGTCGCTCCAGGATGACCAGTCGGACCACCGGC